CAGTAGCATGTGCATCCATAATATTACAGCGCTACATTTTCAAGATTTTCAAGGGGAAGACAATTTTGCAAAGCTGTGTCATGCCAGCTTATACCAAGCATGTGCATTAAGAAGCCGCGCAGACTTGCCCCTGTTGCCAAAATGAATTGCCAATGTAGTGGCATGCAATGGATTAATTACATGCTGTATTATCTCAATAGGTTCAAAGTGTTGCAAGATCATAACGAAGTAGCAAATTGCCTTTGTACACCCACGCAGCACAGGTGCTAGTGTTCATTTCAGTTGACTGGCATCACTACCTTGTCATATTGGAATGCAAACATAAAGATAGAGGCAGGTATCGATGTATCACATTTTATTTTGGGAGTCAATGGGCTTAAAGAATACCGAAACAATGTTCTCTCTCAGTCTCAAAACAAAAGTACAAACCTTGCACGCACACTCCCCATCACATGAAGATCAATACAAGCCATTGGCACACACCACCATTGATCGCACCCATTTCAAGCGCCTGATTCACAGTCTTATCTCAAATAAGTGCGATCCCTCACTTGCACAGTCCGCAGGACTATCAAATTGCTGGTTTTCTCTCAATCTCCGCAAAGGTTTTCGGTTATAACACCGCATTTCACCGTGAGCCCCCTCCAAAACAGAGTCCCCACGGGGGTTCATGGTAAGTGCAACTCAAGAGGTTGTACCTGTAGGACACGATTTTTTGTTAAAGGGTAAAATTTGTCGTACAACAGGTGTCAAGATGTCATTATATATATATATATATATATATATATATATATGTATATATGTATATATATATATGTATATATAAGAAATTACTGTAATATTTCCCTATTATTATAGTGCCTTGCCAACCCACAAACCCTTGCAAGGTTGTTTGCTCCAGTGCACAATGCGCCAACCGAGCTGTCTGTGAGAAATACGCCAGTAGAAGAAGAAAAGAACACCAGCGAGAGAAAAAGGATAGAGTTGCCGTCCCGTTTTCTTTTTATGACATTCGGGAGAGTGCTGTTTTCTTTTCCGTGCCGCACTTGTTTGCAGACAGTGGCGTTTTTTCTATAACGTTGGCCTATGGCCTAGAAATAAGGAAAAATACGCCGTTGACGACAAGCGCCGCACAACACGAAAGTGCTCACGCCTGCGTGCGCGATTCGCATTCAGCAGCGAAATTCCGCTAGCAGCCAATCATCTTCCGCGCATTGTATCATACGTGCTGCATCATCGCGCTTGCAAATGTGCCACGGCCATGCTGTTTTGACCATCAGCAGAAAACAGCTTGTAATATAATGGTGATCGTAGGACGTTTCTATGGCGACATCAATGCCAAGGTGACTGAAGTAGTCTCCCAGTAAACCTTTTCCCACTTTTGCGGGCATGTAACTCAGGAACCAGAAGGGTTTGGGCCTTAAAAAGGGCATGGCCGTGAACTGCATCAAAAGGTCCTCGAGATGGCTACTTCAGTTCAAAACCCCATATGAAGGTGGAACACTCCCTCTAATGTGAAGACCATGATGAGGCAACCTTGATTACAACGTTGGTTCTGATAAGTAGGTAGAAACCTCGACATCACGCTTGCCATTCGGAGTGCTGCCATCGGTAGAGCGGGAATACGAGACACTGTGATCAGAACAGAATCGCATGGCGAGCCGCCGAACGGCCACGATGTGTTGTTCCTTTTCGTGAAACGTGTCATTGTCGTGCTCGTTTGTGGTGATCGTCACTCTAATGTAAGCAGCAATTCTCGACGCGCTGTGGTTATCGAGGAGCGGCGCTGGTCTGAATTATTCGAATGCAATCGCAGCAGTGCTCACCGATTTTTGACGCAGTCAAGCACCTGAACTTATCCACCACTCGACCGAACGAAGCCCGACCCCTCCGCAATCACTGGCCTGGAGCAATTCCACTAAAGCGCAGCACGCAGAAGCACATGTGTTGCGTTCAGCTGCCTGTGGCGCCGCAATTTTTGCTCCTATTCAGCTCACATCGTTATCAAGCCAAACTTGCGCCCTCTCTGGCAACTTTTGATTAAACGTCCCGCTGTGAATATCCCCCTAATCGGTCTACGCTGAGTTCCGACCAGTCTATCGCACGATCTGATGACGTTGGAAGCCATGTTCCTGCGGCGACATTGGTGTACAAAAAACCGATAGCGCCGATATGGATACCTGGAGCTGGCAATACCACAAACCAATACCTCGATATCAGGCCGGCCGGCCTGCTACCGGGAATGCAACCGCACTTATACGGCCGCATACGCAGCATCTTTCGCCGGGATGCGGATCAGGGGAGACGCGAGCCGCCGTCTGACAGCTCGAGCCCTGCGGCTGGTGCGGCCGGCAGGTCCGCGCGCCGATCTGTCAGTCGAGCCCGTCACCGGGCCTGCCCCGCCGCCCCAGATGCGTCCGCACACGATGCGTCAGCGGGCCGATGGCGCGCAGTTGGCCGTCGGCTGGCCACCGGCGCTGACGCACGAGCTCGGCGCCGCGGGCTGATCCGCCGCCCGGCCGCTGACAAATTACGACGGGCGCAGGAACGGGGCCGCGGCTGGCAGCCGTTACGGTGTGCTGGTCCCGTCGAATGCTGGTGTGGTGCGCGTGCCATTGTACTGGTTACTCGATGATCGGTTAGCCTGTGTTGCAGCGCCGGGGCGCAAAAGACGACGCAGCGGAAACGCCCGCGAACGTCCAAAATAATCTTTGTTGGATTGCTCCCATCGCGCCAACACAGACCCATTTTTGTGATGGATTAAGGACGGACGTGCTCTGTGACTATTTCCACGTACTCCCTTCAGATTCTGCGGGTGCTTCACTTAATCTTAAAAGCCTGTATAGTGTAGGCTGTTGCGTCAGCCAGCAGCGTGTCCGCGCGAGACTGGTGCCGCCGCGTCTGCGACGGACGAAACGCCGATTGGTGATGTTCGGCAAACGCGGAGAGGATCCCCCAGCGCGCCGTCGGGTTGGGATCAGTTTGCCCCCCCCCCCCCGCCCCCAAGGGTTTTTCCGGAATTAGTTTGCTGTGCTCCTTTTGAATTTGTTGATAACGGGAACCGCGTTATACATTTCCGTGGATTTCTTAAAGGTCAGAGTAGGTCACTCACCTTAGATGGCCCAGGTTAACATTTCGTTTTTAGGAACATGCTGCTAGCGTAATCCTTGACGTTATTCACATGCAAAAATCCAAGCAGTCTTGCTTGGTTTTGGTCGCCATGACTTCGAAAAGTCAAACAAGGTCACGGACCTTAAATGAGAACCAGTAACCTTCTGCCCATAACAGCTTTCTAGGTGTGTGGTAGCTGCATGAGAAGGTCTGGGGACATTCTTGACAGCAATCTGGGGTTTGACCTTGTTTGACCTTATTTGACCCGAAGGTCATGACCCAAGAACATATAATTTTGACACAGGTGATTTCACAGAAATGCCAACGCACCGTGTGAGTTTGATGCCTCTGGCTCTCTTAGTTTTTGAGATCTCAGGGGGGGGGGGGGTGGGCAAATCAACCCCACCCGAGCGAAGGGTATTCAACTGGCCACCCGGGCGTGTGCTGCTAGGCTTGTGTGCTTACTGGACATGTTTTCATCGGAGAGCTGCAAAAACCCGCTTGCTTACGGCTGCTGGGTCAGGCTGCAGAAGAACAGCTCATCCGTGCATTCATTATAATGTGCAGACATATGTCCGTGTATTGACGTCAACACATTTACGTACTAAATACAAGCCTAATATCTTTCACGGCACATACTTCGTGCTGTTCATAACACGGCGCGGTATGGTTCAGCCAATAGTTGGCTTCTGCTGATCGTCCAATGCCAGTCTTACCCACGCGGCCAATCATGGGCTGGGAGCATGTGTGCATGCGCGTGTGTTTGGGTGTGTGCGTGACCGTTCCGAGAGCGACGACCCAGACGATAGCAATGCGGCATCAGCGATTGGAGCGCCTCCCTGCGGAATTTCGTGGCGCCGACTCTGTGACTGCAAGTGGGACTTCATGACCGCCAGGGGGGTCCGTGACCGCCATAGAGTCCGTGACCGCCAGTGGGAGTCAATGACCGTCAGGAGGGGTCAGTGACCGCCAGTGGGGGTCCGTGACCGTCAGTGGGGGTCAATGACCGTCAGGAGGGGTCAGTGACCGCCAGTGGGGTCCCTGACTGCCAGTGGGGTCCCTGACCGTCAGTAGGGGTCCCTGACTGTCAGTGGGGTCCCTGACTGTCAGTGGGGTCCCTGACCGTCAGTGGGGTCCCTGACCGTCAGTTCTAGTCCGTGACCGCCAGTGGGGTCCCTGACTGTCAGTGGGGTCCCTGACCGTCAGTGGGGGTCAGTGACCGTCAGTGGGGTCCCTGACCGTCAGTGGGGGTCAATGACCGCCAGTGGGGTCCCTGACCGTCATTGCGTGTCGTTACCGGACGCCACCGGCTACCTTGTTTTTGAAAGTGAACTAACCTGCTTAGGATGTCGCCCAGCGGGGCACCGTGACCACCTCTTCTGGAGGTGAGAGGCGGACGACCCCATGTACGCCTCAGTAGCCGGGTATGGGCGCCATATGACCAGGGCAGTCGGCGCGCCCAAAAGGCGACCCCATGTACGCCTCAGTAGCCGGGTATGGGCGCCATATGGCCGGGGCAGTCGGCGCGCCCAAAAGGCGACCCCATGTACGCCTTAGTAGCCGGGTATGGGCGCCATATGGCCAGGGCAGTCGGCGCGCCCAAAAGCCCAAATCACTATCATCATCTGTAGCCATTTGCGTAGGAAAGCCCCAGTGACAACCCGGTGTGGCGCTGCGTGATCTGTGGCGGCCTGACCTGGCCTGAGCTGGTCTGACCTGGCCTGGCCTGGCCTGCCTGACCTGACCTGACCTGGCCTGACCTGACCTGACCTAACCTGACCCGACCCGACGAGACCTGACCTGAGCCGCTCTTGACGTGACCTGTGCTGACCGCCTGTGACCGGCGGAGCAGTGGGCGGTCGGACCTGACCGGTGTGTGGCCGTTCCAGCTGGAGCCCACCATCCAGTCTCTGAAGGACGACCTGAACGTCACTGGCCAGGCGTACGTCACCATGGAGCGAGCGCTGGACTGTGAGCACGTGCACCGCCAGTACGTGGCCGCCCTCAACGCCCTCTGCCGACCCATGCTGTGAGTACAACTCCGCCCGGCTGCGCCTGACCGGTGGGGAAACGTTGTGGACTGGACTGGACTAAACTCAGGGTCTGTCCTTTAGGTTTGGATCGATTCTTCGTTGTTCGGCTCCCTTGGAAGGCAATTTGCCAATCTTGGCCCCTATCTAAGTGCGGTTAGACCACCAACGTGTCGGTTGTGTGGTTGTGTTATGTGGGTTGATGCACAGTCTCAGCGACGGTCACATTGATTATTGTCGTCATCATCATGACCTGGCTTGGCCGATGGGCCGTTCTGCGGGCCGTCTTCTGAAGCCGTGTATGACCCGCGGCGGCCGCGGCGGGCGGCGCCTACCAGCCACGGGCGTGGCCGCGGCGGGCGGCGATTACCCGGCCGGCGCTTACCAGAGACGGGCGGGGCCGCGGCAGCCGGCGCCTACCAGCCACGGGCGTGGCCGCGTGCTCAACAGCTGGCCGCCCCGAGAGTTCCTGGAACCGCTGTGGCCGCTTAATGGACTGCACCTTATTGGCCGTTATACGGCCTCCAGGGAAATTACTGAGCGCAAGAAGGCCGTTCAGCAGAGTCCAGGAGGCCGCTGGCAGTTCTGCAGACGGCTGCCCGCGTGGCGGGGAGCTGGCGCACTGTGGCGCGCGTCGGCCTCGGGTTCGTCGGCCGAGCAGTGGGGTGGTGGGCTGTGATCTGTCGCACGTCTGCCGGGCTCGCTGGATGTTCACGTGGATGTGAAGAAGAACTAGGCGTATTTGATTGTGTGTCTTGACCAGGAGCAACCAAACCAGGTCACTCTTGTATCATCTCGCAAATGCGGGTAATTTTAGGTACATTTTCCGCTCACATATCGGTATGCTGGTCAACATCACAATCCATTCGGCGGTTTTTGAACATAGTCAACGTCGTAGAAAGTATATCGAGTTTTCCGACAGTGAAATGCACATAGATATACGATAACGGTCACATCACACAGAGTATCGGTCACACAACAGGGGACCGGTCAAGTCATAGAGTACCGGTCACATCACACAGAGTACCGGTCACATTGTCGCACAGGAAACAACTTCCTGTGGCGATCGAGAAAGGTGGCAGTGGGCATCACAAGCCCCCGTGCAGTGCGACACAAGCGTAATCACCTGCACCCCAGGACCCGCGCCGTCAGCCAGCTGATTGCGGCTCCGAGTGGCACTAACCGCTCCGGAGTGGACTAGCACTGCTGCGGTGGCTGTGATATTTCGATGTGAAGCATCGGGGCCGGCATTAATGTTTGATGTGAAACATCGGGGCCGGCATCAATGTGATATCGACCCGGACGGACCGGAACGAATAAGCTTCTAAGGAGGGACAGATTGCGAAGAGCGAGAAACACTCCGCTCTCAGGTTGTGCGGTGTATGTTCTCATCGCCACGGCTCGGTTCGACAACATCACTTCACGGCAGCAAGCATCTGTCTTGTTATGATAGTCAATATGCCATTAGCGGCCAAACAATAGCCATACCAGCAAGCGCTTCTTGGTAGGCATATCATTCATATTAATTCCCACCATAACACAGTGCAATGAAGCTGTGGAGACACTCGCAGTTCCTGCACGACACACATTGTCACAACACAACAATAACGGGGTGCCGGTGGTGTAGTGGTTAACGCGTATGCGGTAACCACTGCGCGTCTGGGAAACCAGAGGTACAGGGTTCGATTCCCCGCGGTGCCCGCCCTTCCTGCCAGGGTGAGAGGCAGGCGACGCCATATAGCCTCAGCAGCTGAGTGCGTCGTAAAGCCCCAAGGACATGACACATGACATCACAACAATAACACGCGTTGGCGCCACCTATTGGTGACCCACATGTCGAGGTGTTGACTTTGTGCCGCTACGACATCACACAGAGTACCGGTCACATCACACAGAGTACCGGCCACGTCATACAGAATACCAGTCATATATCACAGAGTGCTGGCTCAGTATGCAGTGACGGTGTCACGGTTTGGCGGTCACGTCAGTTCCGACCTCATTGACCACTCCGGAAAGTGGCGGTCACATCAGCGCCGACTTCGCCGATCACTCCGGAGTGTGGCGGTCACGTCAGCTCCGACCCCGCTGACCACTCCGGAGTGTGGCGGTCACGTCAGCGCCGACCTCGTTGATCAGTCCGGAGCGTGGCGGTCACGTCAGCGCCGACCTCGCTGATCACTCCGGAGTGTGGCGGTCACGTCAGCGCCAACCCCGCTGATCACTCCGGAGTGTGGCGGTCACGTCAGCGCCGACCCCGCTGATCACTCAGGGGTGTGGCGGTCACGTAAGCTCCGACCTCGCTGGTCAGTCCCGAGTGCGGCGGTCACGTCAGCGCCGACCTCGCTGATCACTCCGGAGTGTGGCGGTCATGTCAGGGCCGACCCCGCTGATCACTCTGGAGTGTGGCGGTCATGTCAGCGCCGACCCCGCTGATCACTCAGGGTGTGGCGGTCACGTAAGCTCCGACCTCGCTGGTCAGTCCCGAGTGCGGCGGTCACGTCAGCGCCGGACCTAGCTGAGCACTGATCACTCCGGAGTGTGGCGGTCACGTCAGCGCCAACCCCGCTGATCACTCCGGAGTGTGGCGGTCATGTCAGCGCCAACCCCGCTGATCACTCCGGAGTGTGGCGGTCATGTCAGGGCCGACCTCGCTGATCACTCCGGAGTGTGGCGGTCACGTCAGCGCCGACCTCGCTGATCACTCCGGAGTGTGGCGGTCACGTCAGCGCCGACCTCGCCGGCGGGCGGCGGTGGCGCTCGATGGGGTCGTAATTGAGCCAGTGTCGCGGCGATTGGAGTGGACATCGATCGCGCTCCGGCGCCGGCGGTCGGGCCGCGAGTAGTGCCGCCGCCGCCGCGCCTGGCGGGGTTGGCAGGCTGGTCGGCGGGCGGCTCTGAGAGCGTCACCAAACATCCGCCGGGGTGTGCCCCAGCTGCTGGGCGGCAGGCCGGCCGTGGCCAGCCAGCGTGTCATGCTGGGTCATGGGCACTGGGTATGGTCCGCGGTGCTGAGGTTTTGCCTCGTGGGTTGGGTTTTTGAGGATTTTTGGTACTGATGATGTACAGTTTGATTGTGGCTGAGCTCACTCAGTTAAAGCATGCGTATCCTAGCGCGGCAACGTTGGCATTCGTTTATTTTAGTGTCGTTCACAGACTTACCGATGTAGGCGAACTGTTCCCCAGCCGTGCCTTTTTCAAATAAAGTCCGAACCAGAACTACCGGAGTAGTTCTTGGTACAGCGACAAGCGTTCCTTGGATGAACGAGGCGTCGAACAAACCATAACTTGTGGCCCATGGAGGTGTCGTCGAGCTGTGTGCGAGGTTAGCAACTCAGGTACATGTAATTGAGTTTCTGTGCGAGTGGAGGAGTTGGTTGCTTGGCAAGTTAATCCAATCGGTGGGCGCCTTTTCAGCTATAGCCTGGCCGAGTCAAAACACGCCTTGATGGCGGTTGTGAACCGTTTCACCGTTCCCCGCCCCACCGTTCCACCGCTCCGACGAACGGCCGCTCGCGGCAGAACGGAGATGAGGACGAGCGAGGGAGGAACGGAGGACGGAGAAGAATAAATGAGGGCTAATAGCGTGTGAGATTAGACATCATGCGTTTGATGCACTGACGCAAGGTATTTATCACACCCGAGCGTCAGCTCTGAGCCTGTCATCTGAGATTGCACCTTCGCCGAGCTAAGCAGTTGGCGTACTGCCCCGCCGCTAAATGCACATTGCATCAACAGGTGTGCAATGGAGGTGTCAGCTAGCTGTGTGCAAGGTTGACAAGGCCTCAAACTGATACACTGATAGTTAAATACGAATGCGTTGACTGAGTGCGCATGTGTTCTAGTCGATTTGCGTGCAGGGTCGTGCGGGGCGCTACCCACTCAGTGGTTGGCTTTCAGGCGTCGGTAGCTTTGTATGACCTGTGATTAAAGCAGGACAGGTACCGATGATAGCTATAGCGTCTGTGCGCTCAGACGTCACCGCACGGACAGGAATATGTTCAGCCTTCAGCGAACGTGCTTGGTTTAATGAAGGCATTGTTTGACGTGGCATCTGGATAATGTTTGTGCCGCCGTTGGTAAAAGCATCGCTTAGCAAGTTGTTGGCGGCTGGATTACGCTAAAATGCTGGTGTAGTGTTGGAACGAGTTCGGTAATGATTACGAAAGGCCCATGCTTTCTCTAGGTAGCCTTACTTTAAGGGAGTGTTCCACCTTTTTGTGCTGTTCACTTATTGTTGCATCAGACGCGTACGATTTGATCAGTAATACCAGTTTTCTCGACATTCTCATGAATAACAGAATTTGATTTGAAGTAGTCGGCCCTGTAGAAGAAATCTCATTTGACTCAGGACTCACCGCGAAGAGTAAAACGTTCGTTTGCCTTGCTTTTTCCAACACGCGTGTTCTGTGCTGCTCACAACGCACTAATGTGTCAAAATGCTTGTTATTAATGCGACCTAAGTCTGAACCACTCTGTTTAGATTAAAAGGCATCCGAATGTGAAGCTTTTATCCCGTGAATTCAACGGAACGTTACACAATGGCTTTGATTTCTCCGCTTTGACATTTACCGCAGTGGCTCCTTTGGAGGCGCACTTTGGCTTTGGGAATGCGAGTATCATATGACCCATGTGACACACCTGGCTCTAGCTCCAACCCATTAACGTTTCGGCAAAAAGCCCTTGCCCGCTGGGTCAATCAAAATTATTTTATTCGCACCAGTAGAGGTGCGCGCGGTGGTTGTCATGGCGACGCTTGGCGCGACTGCAGGAAAGAAGCAAGTGCTGTTGGAAAGCGTCGGCAGGATAGTTTGGACCCGATTTTATTAAAATTGATATCCTTTTTATGTCTTGACGGTGATGCAGCGACACTAGCCGGTGCTATATTACACGTAACTGGTCCTGAGGTTTCACTGGAGCATGTTTTTGAAATACACCTCAAATGTGGAACACATTGTTTAACCTTAAAGTACTTGACCTACGGCTAAGGCAACGAGGCATTGAAACGGATATTACCCATCTCTTTTTTTGCGCTGAGCATTTCTGGAGCTTGGCGTGATCATCAGGAGTGGCCCCGGGACGGCTCGCCCGCGCAAACCGCCGTGGCGCCTGTCACGGCCCGGGAATGCTGAGGATGCGCGAAGATCAGATTATCTGGTGCGACGTCACGTCTTCATCAATTAATTTTTTTCCCGTTTTGTTTTTGCTTTGTTTGGTTTTTGTTTTTTGTTTCCCGGTTTTGTTTTGTTTTTTGTTTTTTTGTTTCCCGATGACGCCGATGTGCCACATACCATGCGAAGTGCCCTGCGCTTCCGTAAACGTTCCGCGATCACATGGAGCCGATGAAAGCTTACGAGACGTTGGAAGATCTCCAGGTCTGTTGTGGCTCCCCGCGCACACCAGTCGGAGCCAAACACGTTTGAAAAGCATGGGCAGCAGCTCTGGTCGTCTGGACTGGTGGCCGTAGTTTTCTGCCGCCACCTCGGTGGCCGTGGGGTCCGTGGCCGTCCGGCAGTGGCGCAGATGGAACAGCACACATGGAGCCGCGTGGAGTCCACAGACACATGGAGCCGCGTGGAGTCCACAGACACATGGAGACGTACGGAGCCCATGGACACATGGAGCCGTGTGGAGCCCGTGAGCACGTGAAGTCATTTGTAGCCTATGCACACATGGAACCGTATGAAGCCCATGGACACATGGAGCCGTATGGAGCCTACGGACGCCTGGAGCCGTATGAAGCCTATGAACGCATGGAGCCGCATGAAGCCTATGGACACATGGAGCCAATGAACGCCGCTGCTCAGCCGAGCCCAGTTGCCAGGGATCGGCATGGTCTGCTCATATCAGGCCGAGGGTGCGATCAGACGTCACCCGCCCTCGTCGGAAATATATTGGCTGCCAAGCGACCGGCGCTGGACGTCAAGAGTACACTGGCAATTCTGCCGCTGCGTGTGCGGCCGTCGACTCCCTGAGTCATGAGTCTGACTCTGCGCCGTGCGGCGCTGGTAGGCGGCCTCTTCTCGCGGCCAGCGGCGAAGACCCGGTGTGTGCTGAGCCAGGCTGTTGTGGTTGTACTTCTGTCGGACGAGACGAGCATTCGACAAAGGCCGGAGAGTGCTGATGCGACGGGAATGAAAAGCATGTGTCTGTCGGGAATCCCAGTCAGCACAGTCACGAAAAGAAGGCAGATTGTACCTCTATAGACGCTTGTTGCTGGGGAGACCACGTGCAGTCATGTTTCGTTTGCTCGTTTGCTCTCACGGCAACTGCGATTTGCGGGTCATCCCGGGGACTGCGACGCAGAGACGCGAAAAACACTGACGTTTTGACGCCCACGTCCGTCCCTCTGGAGGCCTTTGACCTTATCGTGCGGCCTTGACCGTCTCGAATTTTCGTTGACCGTCGCAGAGTCCCCGGGCAATCTTAAGCCCCGTCAGCCGGCGGGCGACTGAGTGACTGATATTGGCCTTCCGGCGTCCCCGGGTAGTGGGCATTTGTGACGCCGGCAAACATTACCGCAGCGTTTCCCTTAATATTATGGGCGACAAGAATGCACGCGGTGATTTAACGTTGATTGCCATCAAGGCAGGGGTGGGCTAGATGAAAATGCAAGTTGAAGTGGGCTGGATGAAGATGCAATTTGAAGTGGGCGGGCGTGTCATATACGTCGTGTCGGCGGTGTCGTGTGATTGACTGACGGGACTTGGCTGTGTGCTAACCGCTGTTGCAGTGTTACCTGTCATTTCTTGACCGTGAGTGGTTGCTGTAGGGTCAGCGAGGTCTGACGTGGCTGTGTGCTGGTGGGCACCAAAGGTGGTTCCGCCGGTGCGCGACAGTGTGCCCGCCGTTCCCTGACGGCGAGCTTATACCATGCCGTTGCCTGACGGCGAGCCGATGACCGTGCCGTTGCCCGACGGCGAGCTGATGACCGTGCCGTTCCCTGACGACGAGCTTATACCGTGCCGTTGCCTGACGGCGAGCTGATGACCGTGCCGTTCCCTGATGGCGAGCTGATGACAGTGCCGTTCCCTGACGGCGAGCTGGTGACCTTACCGTTCCCTGACGGCGAGCTGATGACTGTACCGTTCCCTGACGGTGAGCTGATGACCCTGCCGTTGCCTGACGGTGAGCTGATGACCCTGCCGTTGCCTGACGGCGAGCTGATGACCCTGCCGTTCCCTGACGTCGAGGTGAGGACCGTACCGCTCCCTGACGGCGGGCTGATGGTCGCTGCGGGGTCAGTTTGACGTGCTTGGACCGGCAGTCGGCGACCGTCGCAGCCTGCTCCCTCCCTTACCTGTCATTTTCCCTGTGATCGGTGCGGTGTGTGTCGGGCGGCGTTGCTGCTGGTCCTGACGACGTTACGCGACAGCGCGTCGGCAGCTGCCCCGCGCCGGGGCCGGCATGTGGCCGCCGTGGCGTGACCGTGCACCCGGGACCGTTGCAGGGTGGGGCTGACGGTACTGCTCCTGGCGCTGCTCACCTGCGGCCTGCTCTTCACCGTGCTGGCGTGGTGTGACGCGCACGCCTGGATCCACATACAAAAGCGGTGAGTGCGCGCTGGGCCTGCGCGCTGGTTCGCGCGCGCGCTGGTCCGCCTGCGCGCTGGCCCGCCTGCGCGCTGGTCCGCCCGCGCGCCGGTCCGCCTTGGGCTCGGCGTGGCCCGCGCGTGCCGCCCGGACGTTGGCGTTGGCTGTCTGTCATTTTCGGGCCGGATGAGTCATCTGATATATGCTCGAAATAGAAACATAGTCTTACATTCGGATGCCTGATATATTCGAGACGGGCTCAGATGCGAAATCTGTTCTGATACGACTGTTCGGATGCATTGGTGGGGAGTTGTGTGGTGGGCGTGACAGCTTCGGGAACGACTGTCGTTGAAATTATCGCAAGGTTAAAGTTTTGCGCTGAAGGGTGCACGCCATGACATCTGTGCCACGTCAACTTCAGTCGGCATCCTCCGCTCGTGCCGTGGTGGTGCGGTTGGGGGGGGGGGGGGGATAGCCCGCTCTATGGGTGTCATTACAGCCTACGTTTGATATTGAGACATCAAGACAGCTGCGTATGGTTGTGCAATGTTTTCAGTTTTGGTTTACATGCATATAAGCTGTTAAACAATTTATATATATATATATATATATATATATATATATATATATATAATCTGTGCGCTGCGTACGTGCGCACGCAAAAAAGAACACACAAATTTGACAATTTGAGCAACCAACGGTCTGGTTGATACAACCACAACGCTAGCTCTCAACGCAGGCTAAACAATTGATAACACTTGAACGTAACGGACATTTGGTTGATTCTGAACTCGATTTCGACGCGGTCCCGTGCCAAGCACGAGTCCGGATCTAAGCCGGGGTGCTGGTGTGCTGTGCTCTGACCCCTCGATGTGCTACGAATCATGACCTCAGCAGTCATATGTTTAATGACGGTTAGAAAATTGAAAGCATAAACAATAGTGGACTGCCATGGAAGACAAAGAGGACTACCTTTGAAAACTTCCATGGAAATTTTTATGTATTGCATGTTGAATAAGAAGTTTGAAAACCTCAAACACGTGTTTTGTTCGCATATTCTGGTAACTGTGTTTCGCTCCGCTGTGGTACTTGTACCCAGATATATTGATGCATATAATACCTACCTGAACACGTAGCGCTAGGTGCTGTGCAGTTTCCGCGAAAACGTTTTGATGTTGACGGAATTCATTTTTCCATTCAGTTTTGGGCTTGGTCTTTCGTTGTCGCGTGAAATACGTAATTTCTTTACACTTCCCTTGCATGGATTTTCGAACGCGTTGCGTTTGTGTAAGAAATCCCGATAACCCTGGCCTTGACCCGAAACATTCTGACAATCTCGTATAAAAGCACGGTGCGTTCGATGAGTGCGGGGCGGTAAGGTGAAGTCACGTGACATAAATTCTCGGCGCCGTTCGATTAGCACATGGCCTGCGGCGATATTGTAGGCGGTCGTTGGTTCTGAGAAGTGTATAGTGATTTTCGTTTTCCGAGAACCTCCTAGATTAAATGCGAAGAGGGCGTGACTCGAACTACTTAATCACTGGCTTGCGTGATCCACCTTCGCCGTTTTTCTTGCCGCACCGTCTCCTTCCGTCTGGGGACATTTGGGGAGTGTGCGCCACAGTTGTAGAGCGGTCAGGCACACTCAAAATATGATACGTGTCGTCATTTATGCTGTCCATCTGTCAGCGATTGGCCAAGACGGGTTGGCCTGCATAGTCTTCGTGACGGCCGCGGATTCAGTGCCGTCAGGACTGATTGAGCGCGCGCTTACAATTGGAAAGGTGTCTCATTGGCTGCAGGGTTCGTAACTAGCAGAAATGGTAGTTCGGAAGTGTGAAACGACGGATAGCCACTGGTTAAGACCCAGCCCAGCACCTCCACTGCGTTCTCTTTCGGGCAAAAGTAACCATTGCATGCGACTATATCGTGTGCAGTGTTCCCAGACGCACGCACCGCACCTCTCCTCACCTCGGCCGGTTACGTGCGACAGTGGAGTTCCCACGGACTTAAAGGCGCGGTCAGGTTTTCCCGCGCCCCGCAGGCGTGTAGTGTTGCCCCTTACCGTTATTCCTGTCAGCCGCGCGGCCACGGAGGGCTCGACGGTGCTGTCCGGCTCGGCCCCGGACACACGCCGTAATTGCGGTCGGATTCGGATGATCAAGCAGGCGGTACGGGATGATCAGAGTAGATTACAGATAGGTATTTCTTCTACTACCGCTCGATACCGTGTCGTCACGCACCTTGGCCAGATCCTGGTTTCTGGCGGCGGCATTTTCCAACATTACGTCATTGGTTTCTTGCCGCGATGCAACTCCCGCCATAAAACTAGACCACGTGTTATGATATCCGTGGTGTACCTGTGTATGGTGCCTCACAGATCGATTTCTCTTCAGTTGTTTGGGTTGCCGTGGGTTGTCCGTACTATGGAGCCCATTCGCCGGCGTCAGGAGCCGATTGGATGCTGTTCGTGAAGAGGGCGTTCGGGGCGCGCTGATTGCGGCATGGCAGGCTTAAACAAGGCAATAATGTTGGATCTTGTGAAGTCAGGTCGATTCCAAGACGCGCAGTGGCTTTCATGAACGGTAAAAATGTTGACACCTTAACGGGCAGGCAAATTGGAGATTATCTAATAAATTGAAATGATCTCTTGGGAATTAATGCGAATTTATCGACAGTCAGACCTATCTCCGCGTAGCCAGCTATGGATTAATTTGTCCACTCATGCATACGCGTAATACCCCCACGCGATGCGATGGACGATAGTGAATTGAAATGGATGGTGTACGTGATCGGCCATTGAGTTCGGAACCTTTGGCGCACATACATGCCGTGGGAGATGTTGGGCTGAATTTTCTGTTCGTGCGCGATTGTATCTCAGTTTCTTTTGTATTCGGCCCCGAAACCAAACCCAAAATCTCGGTAAAAATTGCGCGTATTCTGAACTTAACCCAACCGTCGCCCTGAGCACTTTTGCCAGCGGGACCCTGGCCTTACAAAAACCAAGAGTCAGTCTCTAACTTACGCGGCCAGATTCGGCGGTCAGGCTTTTGGCGGCCCAACTCTTAATGAAGCTTTTATATAACTTCAAGTTGTTCCATACAAATAGTTATGTCGTGGGTCATAAAACCTGCATCAAACATAGGTGCTGCGACCTAAACGTGACATATAGTTATCCAACTCCTCACTACCACTTGGTGTTCAATGTAGACAAATACTTTCCCGAAATATTGCGGTATTCCCTCTGCACAAAACATAAGTCTGGGATACAGCTTGTTTTGAAAAAAATACTTTCTTCCGAATAGTTTGCATGGGTGGCTTTGGGCCCATGGCGCGTGCTGAGCATGGCTTATTGCGTGCGCCCTGAGCCCACCACCGCCCGGGTGACGGGTGGTTGTCGCAGGGCAAACTTTGTCATGGCCTGATCATGAATGGCCTTACCTGGATGGCCTTACCTGGCAAAACGCACTGAAAACATCGGGGTGCGACCCAGTGAAATGGATAAGAAGAAAACTCCGGAGAGTCCTCATGGAGTATTTTCTGCGATAAAAAAGCGTTATTCGTTACTTATAAGCAAGCAAAGCGTCGCCGATGTCTCCTCCATAAAAAGGTCATGGCCATGAGACGTTGAGGTCAAAAGATTCCAATTTTCGCAAGGTGTTAAGATGATGTTGACTTCGGCACTCAATATTTCAGCGTTTTCTTTAAACGTTCAGAGGCTATTTCCGGAACACAAACCAAAAGTGACAATTTCACTTTTGTATGTTTATGATATTTTGTGGGTGTTTTTGTATGCATGGGCAATCAAGAATCGCGTTTTCTGATGCATAAGACGGGCATTCGGGCAATGTTACGAGTTATGACGGGTATCAGCCTGGGAATCGAATAACTTAAGAGTAGTGCCGTAACCCAAATAAGAAACATGGTATCAGAGAAGAAAATGCAAGAACACCACGCGAAAGGGCCAAAACATGCGCACAACGATCGTCGGGTACCTCTCACACGCATGAATTAAGCCACCTTGTGACGAGTGGAAGAAGTACATGTGAGCAAGCCCGTCCGCTACGGCGGTAATTCTGACGCGGCCAGTCTGGCAGCGACTATGACGTCATAAAAACGTTCCATGCATTTTCAAACGATGCCGTGTTGTGGAGTATGTTTACACGATAACTTAGCTTTTGGTATCTAGAGCAGTCTTTTGCACTTAAGAAATTAGTGACAAAGAAGGATGTCAGTGGTGGAATACGTGTTAATTTGAACAGCTAAAGGCTGCTGATTATGGGCGCAAAGTGACCATCGCAGTGGACGCGCCCGAAAACACCAGTAAACAACAAAAAGACTGCTAATACTGCTTTCCAAGGGCAAAAAGGCCTAAGTGCTACGCAAACGGATGGCTCTTAGGCCTTTTTGCCATTGGACGGCGGAATAGTTCCTAGTGATCTTTTTCATCATATCTGATGCTTGCCTCAATATCTTTAAATGTGGAACATACCCTTTAAGGTGGCCTCTGGGCCTCCCGCCCCCCCCGCCCCCCACCCCTCGTACAGGGGGATGATGTTCAGCACGCTGTTCTCATTTGTTGAGAGATGGACCAAGACGGGCCATGAGCAAGATTGATCCAGCTATCCATTTGCACCGATTGCCAATGTGTATGACCTCCTTCGCGTATTGTTTGGAGTCGTCCGCGTTCTGTGTGGTGATCCCGCTCATCTCTGCAATCACCCCGCTCGTTCCAGGCCAAGAAGGCCGACTTGGTGGCGCCGCTGCGGCATGATCTGCCGTGTTTATGTGCCGTCCCCGAGTCATGCTGTTCATTGTCGACGCCAGTCACCGTCTCACATGAACCAGTATCCAGTCCTACTGACAAGACCTGACTGACCAGTCCGTTGTTCACAGCACCAATTGAGCGTACCCGTCCAGCTGCCCAATGCTCTGTGCAATGTACGCAGTGCGAACGCATTACATGTAAGCACATGCATGCGCGGCCTGCGCAAGCGCTCCCTCTCCCCATCCCTTACTAACGCGGCCGCTGTCTGCCCGCAGGCGAGACTACCTCCGCGTGGAGACAATAGACCCGTTCCTGCAGGGCTCGCGCCGCCCGCCTCTGGTGGGCGCGGCTGGCGGCGGCAGCGGCGGCGGTGGCGGCGGCGGCGGCGCGGCCGGCGGCGGCGGCTCGCTGCGCTCCGTGCGCACGTCGCCGCACGGCTCGCTGCTGGCCTCGCGCAATCACAGCACGCCGCCCACGCTGCGCACGCGCACGCCGCCCTTCCCGACCGCGCCGCCCTCCTCCGGTCCGCTGCTGGCTTTGTGAGTGAAGCCCCGCGCGGGCGGACGCGGCGCGGCGCCGGCGGTGGCGCCGCCAGCCAGCAGGGCTGGGCACGGTCGCTGACTGGGTCCAGAGCTGGGCGCCAGCCGGTACATGCGGTTGTTGCCACCTGCCGGGCTTCAGGTGTTGCACAGAGTCTTTTGAAACGTGTCCCATTTTTGAGACCCCAGTGTAATCCGTCAGCCATAGCTTTGTGAGAACTGGGTATTCATTCGAGTTGGTTTTCGCGTGGTATTCAGTAAGATACAGGGCATATATGTGTACGGTTATCCACCGTGGCCATCTCATGCCCTGCCTGTCCAAGCCGTGGCCATGCTGTATGACCAGTTTACATGCGACTTCTTCGAGGGGTAAAAGACCTTCATCTCGAAAGAGGCCCCAGTGTCTGGAATGACTTACGACCAGTTCCAAGTAGTCTTCCCGAAATGACTATGTCTATCGAGTGAGCGATTGGATAGTTTTTTATATAAACATTACAGCGCTGGTCAAGTCACGAGGGGATGACGTTTTAGCTACCGTTTGCCTCCACAGACAGCAATTCGGAGCTTCCTTTCTGTTCTGATGCAATGCCCGTAATCCGGCCTTACCGTGCGCCAGTCTGGGTCCACCACGCGACGCGTGGCACACCAGGTGCTCAGCAAAGGTCACGGGGTCCACTGACGATTGGGAATCCGAACGAGTCAGCCCCACTCATATGTCATGGAAAAAGCCGATGAACGTGGCGTGCCCTCCGAACCATTATCTGCTAATTAGGTCAGCATGTCACAGTTGGTCATGCGACGCGCAAGTGAGAGGGGCTCACACAGCGGCTGACCTGACCTGGACCTGACTTTGACGTCGCTCTCAGACCTGTGTAACACAATGCTCACCTATTTCGGGCGCGGGTGCGCACGCTCATTCGCTTGGTGCCGGCGAGGAAGTCGTATGACTGCTGGCGCATGCCAGTGGTCTGGAAGGCGCCGGCAGGTTCGGGAATTTCTGAAGCGTCTTGCGTAACCGGTGACGTCATCAGTCACGTGACTGATTGCGGCTGCTGGTGGTTTGGAAGTCGCCGGCAGATTTCGAGAATTTCTGAAGCATCTTGCGTAACCGGTGACGTCATCAGTCACGTGACTGATTGCGGCTACTGGTGGTCTGGAAGTCGCTGGCAGATTTAAGAATTTCTGAAGCATCTTGTGTAGCCGGTGACGTCAACAGTCACGTGACTGATTGCGGCTGCTGGTGGTCTGGAAGTCGCCGGGAGGTTCGGGAATTTCTGAAGCATCTTGCGTAACCGGTGACGTCATCAGTCACGTGACTGATTGCGGCTGGTGACGGTCTGGAAGTCGCCGGCAGATTTCGAGAATTTCTGAAGCATCTTGCGTAACCGGTGACGTCATCGGCTACGTGGCAAATCAACATACAGCAAGATTTACGTGGGAGGCTGATTGCCTGTGGAATTACTCCTGTGGGACGATGAGATCCTGATATAGCGGGGCACTGTTTGGGCGTAGGTGCGGTGGCGGCTGGCGTTATACCCCGGGCCATGCCGGGATGCGGTGACGGCTGGCGTTATAGTCCAGGCCATGCGGGGATACGGTGACGGCCGGCGAAATAACACAGATGGCTCCGAGCTAAAAGGTTGTCCTCAAGGCCGTGACCCCTTTTGAGTCCATGTCTGCGGAATGACCCCTTTTGAGTCCATGTCTGCGGAATGACCCCTTTTGAGTCCATGTCTGCGGAATGACCCCTTTTGAGTTCATGTATTCGCGGAATGCATACTGATGAAAGCGTGCTGCATGCATAGCCCTCGGATGGTAGTCGGCCGACTCTTTCCGTGACTTGATTCTCATTAATGCTGTGCTGATGCATGTTTCTCGCTCTCACGTAGCGGATTGCGTTGCAGTCGACGCTGGTTGCGCTCTGCCGTATGCGCCGCCCTCACCCCGATCATCTGGGCCGCACTCGTGCTGCGTGTGTTTGTGTTGGGGGATCCGTTGTGCTCTGGGGATCCAATGTGTCAGGGGGTTCAGTGTTCAGTGTTCCGCGATCGGGTTCCCCGTATTACTGATTGAGATCACTGTCGAACTGGGAACTCTCATTTTTCAAACCAATGGATCCCGGTATGAAAAACCGCCTGTGCCTTGGCGTTGAAGCGAAAAACCAGATTTGCTAGAGACGTAATTGCGAGAAAATTGCCAGCCTGTGAACTTTATTGACATGGCGCGATTGTGGCCACTGCCGCCAGTCTGCAGACATCAGCGAGTCGGGCGCAGAACAAACTTCTGGGGGGCTTAAGCTCTAGCAAGCGGTAGCTGATGACCTCTGACTGCAGGGGTGCACCCTGCAATGTAGACTCGCGTGACAGTGGCAGTGCGGTAGGGCTGTCAGTGCGGTAGGGCTGGTGTGGTGTGACATGCGCAGGAACAGAACTAGAGTTGGGTGAAGCGGGGTTGACATCCATGGTGTCCGCGTCCTATTGTATGGCTTGTTGTCGACGTCTGCCTCACCAAAGGACGTACCCAGCCGTGCTTGGCCTCAACGGACCTAGCCCCAGTGGGAACCAAGGGACGAGTTTATTGTGTGATTAAAATGGGCCATCTGTGCGCGGGTTCGGCGTGAACGCCTCTGGCCGATGCAGTGCGGCGTTGTCTGAATAGCCCACTGCTGCGGCGCTGATGGCCTCGTGCCCCCGCGCCCCGCGTTGAATACGTCCGCTCGCTGTTGCCCTTATGCCCACGCCATACGTCCGCGTGGGCGGCGCCATAATAGTCGCCATAACGTAATAGCTGCGCCTGCTATTGCGGGGCTCTGCGATCCATTAGCCTGTGGTGGGCTTAAGGCGGTGGCGACGGCGCTCCCCGGCGGCCCCCGCTCCACTCTCCGGACGTGGAGCGGCCGCGGCCCGGGCTACCGACCCGCGTCGGCGCCGCTCTTCTTTGGCTCGTTACGCTCCTAGTGCCATTGTAATATGAACCGACAGCGAGTGGCGGCGACGGCGCGCGCTGCATCTGTGCTGTCGGCTGTTAAGTGCTGGCGGTTCTGGCTTCTTTCCGTCCGCGTTGTCTGCGCAGTCTGCCGGGCTGGCGACCCGCCACTATTGCGCGTTGGCGCTTCGAGTTGCCATTGGCAGAGATGGAGAGGCCACACGCCGGCGTCTGAACCATTAGCCAGCTGCGAAAAAAGGCTATTTCCGAGGATCGCGGAGAAGTTGGTCGCGTGCTGTACCGGCAGCGGGCCGCTCGACGGCCGCCATCGGCCGCGCCGCCGCTCTGTGCGCTGTCGGCTGGTAATGTCCGAGAGATACGGGCCGTTCCGTACTGTCGGGGCATTGGCCGACGGCGATAACGGCCGCCGACGCGTACCAGTGGTGTTCGCGCCGGCCCTCTGTCTCACTCCCGCCCTCTGCCGGCCCGCTCTGGACGACCCCGCCGGCTCTTAGCGGAGGGCCGTGGACTGCTACCGGCGACCGGTCGCCGGGCTCGGTGAGCGTCGCTTCGCCGCCGGTTCAGTTTACTGCGAGAGGGGCGAGCTTGCCCCGCGCGCGGCGGCCTCGCTCCGTTCTGCCCCCCCCCCCCCCTCCCCCCTCCCGCTCGCGCCTCGCCTCTGGCGCCACCTCTCGCGCGCGCCGGGCCGCTGGTCTCGTCGGGTGACGTTCCTCCGAGGCCGATGGCTGTCTCGCCTGGCCGGGACGGTGCCGGCCCTGCCGCCTGCTTCGACCGGACTGGGCCCGCCGTGCAGCCGCAGCCGGAGCGGCCGGGGAGCGCTCGCCGGAACCGCGGCTGCGCCGCCGGCTGACGGTCCCCGGCGAGGCGCGGGCTGTGGAGGCGAGGCGGGGGCTGGCGTGCCGGGGGGAACGCCGTGACGTCGGTCTCGACGTGACTGGGGCGTGCCGCCCGCTCAGCTTAGCGTCGGCTGGCCGGGCCGGCGCAGTGTCTGCTCCGCCCCGTCTAGATGGGACGGACCGTCTGGCTGCGAGCGGCGGCGCGGCAGCTTCCAACTCAGGAAGCGGTCCGCCGCCCGGCACGGCGGCACGAGGCCACCCACCCGGCCTTGCGCGCTGGGGCGTCTGGCGTGTGCCGACTGGGAATGCGGCGCTTGCGCGGCGCTTTACGGCCCGCCTGTCCCCCCCTCCCGCCTGTGGCAATGGCCGTGGCCGCAGCGACTCCCACGGCTGGCTCCTCTGCCAGTGTCTCGGCGGGTGTCCCGCTGGTCAGCAGGCCGAGACAGGCCGCATCGCTGGCAGTGCTGGCCGCCGGACTCCTGCCGCCGTAACAGCACACGCGTTTTTGTTCCGATCGCTGCAACCCACGCGTCGGTGGGCCCCAAACGTGTGGGCAGACAAATGGGCCATCTGTCCGCCACAAATATCTTGTTGGCTGACGCACTGACCCGTTACTTGTGAGCGGGATTTCATGTTAGGCAGAGAGCCTTCGCTGCACCCGCATTGCAAGTGCCGCAGCTCAGCTGCAGATGATGCTCTGCGGCCTTGCAGGCGGGCGTTGGCAGGCCCGTCGTGCGTGGCACTCCATCACGGCCAGATGCACTGCCGCGCCGGGAGGGAGCCGGCGTGGAATGCTCGGGGTCGCGGCGGCGAACAGCTGGAAGTGGTCGGGGTCAGCGGCCCGCGGCCGCGCGCCAGCCGGGCGGCGGGAGTGCTCCCCAGGCGCGGCGGTCACGAGCCTCCTGAACCCGCTCCCCGCGGCGCGTTTGTCACGCCGGCGGTCGACGAACCGCCCCCCGGCCGGCGGCTGATGGGATGACAGGGGTGCGCTGAGCGGCGGGGTCGCGCGCGGCCGCCCCGGGGCGTCGCGGTCAGGCGACTGACCCCGACACCCCCCCCCCCCCCCCACCGGCGGCTCTCCGGCCGACCGCCGGAGCCCGGCTGTGCCGCGTGCGGCCCGCGATCGCGTGCAGTACGCGCGACGCGCGCTGTGCCACCGGCCCGGCTCGACCTGGCTGGGACGCCCGGCGACGTCACGGACCGCATGCGCGGTCTGCAGGGCTGCCGCTGGCTCCTGTCCGGGTCAGGGGGCGTGACTGGCAACGACGTGCGTCAGCGACCGAACGCCTGACGTCACTGACCGCGACCTTTGCCGCTCTCCGTGCGCCGCAGCTTGCACCGGCGGCTCAGGCCGGCTTCGGGACCGTTTCTTCCCGCGCCGTTCGGGGCTTCGTCGAAGGCCTCGCGTCCCGGGCTCGGGGACGCACCAGCGCGCTCTTAATCGCTGCTGACGCGGAGCCGCGGCTTCCAAATGGGCGCGCCGGGTCGGCGGCGTGCGCCTGTCAGCTGGGGCCGCCCCGCGAATGCTCGCGACATACGCCGCGCGTTTTGTTCTGGGGAGAAGGTGTAGGGGCACTGCTGGGTGATCCGTAGTGCGTCGCTGCGCCGCCAGACGGCTCTGCTCCGGCGCCGCCGGTAGCGTCTGCTGGAGCAGAGCTTCCCAGAACTCGTACGTGGGTCCAGTGTCAGATTTCCTGAACAATGAACATTCAGGGTCGGGCTCATTGAAATGACTCCGAGTGACTGATGATTCCGGTTCACGCCGTAGGCTAAGTGGATTGGAGCGGGGAGGTGGGTTTGCGCTGAGAGATACGGACTCACCCATGGGTATCTGAACCGGGGTGATGTCTACCAGTGCTGACTGGGCTCGGCTGGTGTCTACGAGTGCTGACTGGGCGCGCCTGACGTCTGCCGGCACTGGCTGGGCCCGGCTTGTGTGTATCTGTGCTGACCAGGCCCGGCTGGTGTCTACCGTTGCTGACTGCACTCAGCTGACGTCCCCGCCCCTAGTTCACTGAGGTGATGGGTGTGACCACTGATGGAACTCGGCGAGTGTGTTGCGCCGCTGTTTGTTGGATCAATTGGCGTTCTCGTCGGTTACTTGTAACCACGAGAACAGGAGCACAGGTACGCACGGATGGACGACATCCTACTCGTTAGGCCAAATGAGGCGCCGTCCATCTTGCGAATTTGTCCCCGGATTACCACGATCCTCATTTGCTGGCCTCGTTCCGCAAGTCTTGTTAGCCGGTTTGACGATATATATATATATATACATATATATATATATATATATATATATATATATATATATATATATATATATATATATATATATATATATATATATATTGTTGGGCCGGGTTTGATTGATCACATTCGTTCTGATATTAATCCTTGTTTGGATCCCAACTTCTTGCGTCTCATAGGCGGGGTCCCAAGCGAGGGTCGGGGATGAAATGAGCATAAATAGCTGTGCATCCGGATCCAGCTAACGGTGCGGGCAAGTCTTGCGCAGAGCGCCCGCGCCACGGACTCCAAATCGTCCGTAGCGACGTGATCCGTTTTACTTGTTTGATCTTCGCTTCGTTTGTGTCCTGGGCAGTCGTCCAGAGGAAATGGTGCCCGCCTCCCGGCGGCCATTTTCAGGCTAGTGGACTTTTACAACTCAAAGCGGCGCGTCCCGGTTAGGAACGGAGGCAATGGAGGAACTCGCCCAGTCTGCAAAAGCAGCCCGTTCGGTCTTTCGCCGTGCTTCCGTCCTTTTTTCAGTGATGTAGTTCTCTGTTCAGATGGGAGTGACCCAGCCCCCAATTCGGCCTCCCCTCAACTTTGAGGCATGGGCCAAATCCGGGGAGAAACCGGCTTGTCAGCGTATGTTGTGGTTGGTTTTGTTACTTTCACACTGCTCAGCCCCCTCCAATTTTTTCATGAAACTTCGGCCTACGCTTCGTCATTTTCGTGAATCATCCTCGTGGGTCCGCAGTCGGGTGATTATCATGCCATGCTATTAGGCGCGGTAAGATTCTCGCTGTCTGGGAGTTAGGCTGTGCCGCTAGACACACGCTTCAGCCGGCCGGCCAGAGCGCAGTTAGGCTGTGCCGCTGTACACTGGCTTCAGCCGGCCGGAGTGGGGAGTTAGACTGTGCCGCTGGACACCCTCTTCAGCCAGCCTGAGCTGAGTTAGACTGTGCCGCTGGGCACGGGTGTAAGCCATCCAGCCAGAGCCGAACCGGGCTGTGCCGCTGGACACCCGCTTCAGCCGGCCGGCCGGGACGGCGGCTGAGCCCGGCCAATCGGGCTGTCCAGTGGCCGCGCGCTCAGTCTGTGAGCCTTGCCTTCGAAGCAAGCGGTCGGTCAGATGCCCTCACCACGTCAGGGCTCATGGGGTACAGTAATATGCACATGGTTGTCGGGGCCCGCAGCAAACGCGCTGTAAGTCGGGTGGTCTGCATCTCCTGGATTTCGGACATCCAAGCTGCGAGGGATTAAAATGATGGCCCAGACGGTGAATTGCCTTTGTTGATTCTTGCTGTGATGGCACGTGCTTTATCACCCAGCCCGGATGATTCGGCTATTCCTGCCGCGAACAGCTGATGCGGAAGAAAACTATTGCATCGATTTTATTGACAGATACCACTATTTGTAGCTGAAGTCTACTCTCTCCCTCCGTTCGGGGCCGTGGCAGCAATCTATATGGCTGTGACAGCTTTTCCATCCGCGGCCGAACCACGGCTGTGTCCATGGTGCCCTATGTATAAGTGCGAGGACTCTCGCTCGTGCCATGCCACAGTTGTAACGGCACGCGCATGCCAGCGACGCTTTTTAAACAATCGTGAAACAGCTCCGTTGACCTTTGGAACAGCGAAGATTCCCAGCGTCACAGGCTTTTTTGGATGGAAGCGTGCGCGTTTGACGCCATCCTTCTTAATTAAGGTTTATCCCGAACCCATGATTGGATGGTTTTCCGTAATCACCGCCCACGATAATCAGTGCCTGCTGCGTGAGCCTGGCCCCAACATCCAATCGTGAAATTCCAGATCTACGGCAGAATTCCGTGGCGAAAGGTGAAGGCGTCGCAATGCCCGTCACAGTCTGGTCTGCTGCCCGACGTTACCTTTAGCACGGTCGCTGCCACAGGCTACGGGCTGTCCTATTCAGGGGAAATCGAGATCGCCTTAAACGATTTCAGCGCTGTGTCACGGGTGGGGAATCGAAAGGCAGGCGCTCTATCCAGCTGAACAGTCGGGGATGGAGAAGTCGGCCATATGATCTGTGCGGGGAATCGAACCTCCAACATTTCGCCCACTGATGCGTGGCGGGGAGGCGGCGGAGGAGAGACTTGATAGCGCTCTGGTGGCCTGCAGTAATGCTCGGGTCACGTATCGTTGCAGTGTTTATCCGCGCATGCGCGTGTCCTTGTGAGAGAAACGGCCACCACTTGGGGCTGTTCCGCCACCAATGACGGCCGACCGGGTGGAGGTAAAGCCCTGCTCTGGTGTTTCAGGAATTAACTGTCTGGTCGAAAAATTGAAACGGCGATTGATAGCTACGTTCAATCTCACCCAGAAGTCGTCGAGTTGGCACTTGTTACGTGACTGATGACGTCACATATGGGCCGGAATGTCTAGGATGACAAAAACCCTTACAATGACGTCAAGACCTTTGTAATATTGGAGAGGTGCTTTGTCATCCGCACTAAACGAAAAAGCGCGATATTAGTACGCTGCAAATTGACGCGATGATGTTAAATGCTGAATGATCAAGGTCGAGTCAAGGTCATGGTAAGTCAATAGCAGGTCATCAAATAAAATTACTTACCTGCTCTTCCAGTTGAAGGGAAATGTAAAACCCTCGATTTGTAAATGTCTCACTCATACTGGCATGTCGAGTTTGTCAACAAATCAATTTGGTTAGCCACTTGCTAGTTGACCTCACATGACCTCTGATGGATGGTGGTCTCATTCATACCGACAAATCGTAGCTTCGCAACAAAGCAGTGCGGTTAATATCAATCACTGAGTTTGGTTAGTAACGACTCTCCGGCTCAGGAGTCCCAGATTGGACGTGGACCCTGTGGCGGTGACCACTGACCGTCTGACCAATGACCACTGACCAATGACCACTGACCAATGACCACTGACCGTCTCCGCAGCTCTGCTGCGTTTCAGTGCCGTGTGCGAGCTATAGGGTTGCGCTGTTACAGTAGCGAGACAGCAAATGGCAATGTGCCGCTGTGCTGCAGCGGCACAGCTGGTCTCCGTCTGCCACACCGCCGCGGTGTGCGGCGGCGCCGGCGGCGTCTGCTGAGGCCGGGGCGAGCCGCTGCCGCTCCGGCTGAGCCCCCCCCCCCCCCCCCCCCCGTCGTCTGCCGGACGCGGCGGCCGGCCGCCGCGTCCCGCTCCGCTGACCCGCCACTCCTGTCACTGTTGCAGTAACGGCCGCATGGAGGAGCAGCGCGCCGGCACGCTGCCGCTGCCGCGCCGCTACTCGCCGGCGCCGGTGAGTACGGGCCAGAACGGCTCCCAGTACGCCACGCTGTCGCGCCAGTGCAAGACGCTGGAATCGGCCGACTTTTACTGAGCGGCGCCGGCGGGCGAGGCTGCACCGGCCGCCCGGAGCCGGGCCCGGCTGCGCGCACTACTAACCGGCCTGGGACTCGGCCTGCATGAACTAACCGGCCGCTGGCGGCTCAGCCTGACGCCGCCGGCCGCCGCGACGCGCCGCGCCCGCCCACTAACCGGCCGGCGCTGCGGTGTCGGTACTAACACGCCTGCGAGCCCGGGACCGGTGGACCGCTGACTGCTGGTCGCAGCGATGTGCGTGACTCACTAACGGACGGCGCCGGGCGCCGGTGTGCGGCGGGGCGAACAGGTTGGTGTGAGCCGGGTGAGCGCGCGGGGCTGGAGCTCGGGGTGGGAGCTGGAGCTCGGCGTGAGGGCTGGAGCTGTCGGGGCTCTCGCGGCCGTGCTCAGACGGCCAGCGGCGGCGGCGGTGGGTATCTGAACCGGTGTTCGTCAGCGAGTAACCTGAGCAGGGCCTGCTGCCCGGCCCGGGGTCGGCTGGTGTCGCCACGCGCTCCCGCTCCCCCTCCCCCTCCCCCGCGATCGGCGAGCTGTCGGGCGCGTCTGGCCGTCGGCCTTAGTTTGGGGCCGACGACACGAGTCAGGCCCGAGTGACGTCGCCGGGCGGGGCGGGGCGGGGCGGGGCGGGCGGCGGCTGGCTGATCGCGTCGGTCTGGCCGCCGACACTGTCTCGGACGCCGCGCCCCCGCCACAGCCGTGGATCCGC